CCGGAGTTAAACCATGACAACATCAATGGTGAGCAGTGAACAGGGGGATGAAGTCTCAGAAACATCTAGATTTAATCCTTAATTAGCAGCTGTCTCGCAATATCGTTATGCTGACAGGGCAAGGGGGAGACAAGGCACAGTTAAAGTCTCAAAAAAGATGGTGGAATGATGGGTAAATGAACTGCTCACATTTTTGCTTGCTTTTCCTGCTCTTCAGTTATGACAGGGGATCCACATTCAACGTGTTTGTGGGAAAAGGTCAACTTATTGCTGGGATGGACAAAGCTCTGGTCGGCATGTGCGTGAACGAGCGGCGCTTCGTGAAGATTCCCCCCAAGCTTGCCTACGGAAGTGAAGGCGTCGGTAAGGGCAGCGCCAGGCCAGTGGGTAGCTGGCTGCGTGAGGGACTCGGCAGAGCAGGTAGAAAGTGGGCTCACGGAAGGGAAGAGTAGAAATTGCAAGTAGGGAGTTTCAGAGAGGTTCTGCCCTGCTGAGGGGTGTTTGTTAAGCGGATCGCCATGCTCATCGCTCCAGGCTCCCTCTGCATGCCGAAGGAAAAGCTGTTGCCTGTAGAAGAGCATCAGCAAACAAACCTTGCTACTGAAGTTGACCGTGTATACCTGCCTCGCTGTTAAATAGTTACTGTGTGTTGGCATTGCAGTGCTGCACAAAGCCTTGTCAGTGCCAAGAGCAGCTTTGCTCTGCAGACTCAGAGGCAACAAGTGCTAAAGCAAGAGCAGTTTGCCTTGGCATCAACTTGATAATAGTTGATGTTGCTAGATTTGTTGGAACAAGTCCAGAGGAGGCCACGAAGATGCTCCGAGGACTGGAGCCCCTCTGCTATGGGGACAGGCTGAGAGAGTTGGGCTTGTTCAGCCTGGAGAAGAGAAGGCTCCGGGGAGACCTTATAGCACCTTCCAGTACCTGAAGGGTCTACAAGGAAGCTGGGGGGGACTTTTTACAAGGGCCTGTAGTGACAGGACAAGGGGTAACGGGTTTAAATTGAAAGTGGGGAGGTTTAGATTGGATATCAGGAAGAAGTTCTTCCCGTAGAGGGTGGTGAGGCACTGGGACAGGTTGCCCAGAGAAGCTGTGGATGCCCCATCCCTGGAAGTGTTCAAGGCCAGGCTGGATGAGGCTTTGAGCAACCTGGTCTAGTGGAAGGTGTCCCTGCCCATGGCAGGGGGTTGGAACTAGATGATCTTTAAGGACCCTTCCACCCCAAACCATTCCATGATTCTGCCCCCCCTTAGGTAGCTGCAACAGTGCCAGGGGGATGGGGGATATGTGCACAACAAAGAGTAAGTTGCACACCATGGATTTTATTTAGGGAATGTGTAGATTGGTTTCTTTTTTGCTGGCATCCTGCAGGAAAGTATACTGGTTGTGTTTCTACTGGTTGTAGAAATAAAACTGGTGGTGGTGTTCTGGTTTTGCAGCTGGTGTGATACCCCCCAATGCTGTGCTCCATTTCGATGTGCTTTTGATTGATCTCTGGAACTCGGAGGACGAAGTGCAGGTTCAGACTTACTTCAGACCTGAGAAGTGTCCCCGGACGGTCGAGGTGTCCGACTTCGTACGATACCATTACAACGGAACATTCTTAGATGGGACCCTGTTTGATTCGAGGTATGCAGCTGGGCTGTGTGTCTTTGTGGCTTTTCATTGGTATCTGACGGCACTTTAAACCATCACTTCCTCCCCCTTCACTGGTGTAACAGTTAATGCTGGTTGTCCAGAAAGGTAAGATGTGAAAACCAGCATCATGTAAGGCTCAGTAATTTATTGAGGGGTTATGGGACAGCAGTACTGGCTCAAACCAGTAAACCAGTGCATTGTTTCTGCGTGAGCATTGCCAATCCAGATCCTTTTCTTCAAAATTTCATTCCCTGGGTCTCTATTACTGCTTACAGTCAGCTGGTAGTTGTAAGCCCTGCAGCTGTTCAAGTTAGATACAGGTTTTATAAACTCAGCAGAGTTCGTGGTGAGCTACCAACATTGTCATGCTGAGACTTCAGGTTTGCAGCATCTGTGCTTCGTTAAAGTGCTGTGGAAAATGATGCTTTAATTTACTCAGCTGCCATTGTGTTGGTGAGCCACCTCTCCTAACCTCTGTGAGGTTCCTGGAATGGCTCCGTACTCTGGAGAACGCTAGCCAGGCACCCCGTGGTAAATCAGGGAGCAGCAAGTTGTCAGTTACAGCGTGCGCAGCGTGTGGCCGTGGGGGATTGATGTTGTTCTTTCCCTTGGCTATCTGACATTTGACTGTGGGGTTTGGTGTTTGGGATTTTTTTCATTTTTAGCCATAATCGGATGCGAACCTACGATACCTATGTGGGAATTGGATGGCTGATTCCGGGCATGGACCAGGGTCTCTTGGGAATGTGTGTAGGCGAGAAGCGCATTATCACAATACCACCTTTCCTGGCATATGGAGAAGAAGGAGATGGTAAAACTTATGCTTTATTTTTCTTTATCCAAGTCACCCATATTTTAATTTATGGGCAGCATTATTACCCATTTTAGACAGGTGGAACAAAGTGGTGGAGAGAGGGGTTCAAAATGTATTATGTACAGGATTGGACTGATTAGAAAGTACAAGATTTTAGAAAATATTTAACAGTAAATTGCTTAACAGATGTAGGGTTGATAGAATTGTAATCTTTATATACTGAAATTTTGTTTCATTGAGAAAATGTAATCTGTGATTAATATGTAGTGGCTCCAAAAACTTCAAGTCAGGTGGCTGTGTAATTCCTTCAAAAGACTTACACAGAGAACACAAAACTTCTGGAAAAAAAAAAAAACAAAAAACCAAGAAATGTATTTTTTATTTCCAGTTTTGTTTCCAACCACTGCCCTAGCAATAACTACACAGTAGATTACACGCCCTTTGGTACTGTGTGCTGCCTGCAGGTCATATGTAGAGGGCTCCATGTTAAATGAGGAGGCAGTTAGGTGCAGTTTGGGACTCTTCCTTAATTCTTTCTCTGCTCTAATGTTTAAGGATGTGTCTGTGTAGTAAAAGGTTTCACACCCCTTCGATTAGTTTGTTACCATTAACGGTGGTGGCCACCTCCACGAGCAGCAAAACACTGCGGAGTTATGTTTTAAACTTTTGCCCCGATCTTGAGCACGATGCTTCTCAGTCACAGCAACCCATGCAGTAAGTTACCATGCTCAATTCACCTTTCCTCGGCTTCCATCCCGTGGTCTCCTGTTTGGATGTTAACAGGACGGGAAGAACACGTACCAAAGTTGTGTTCATAGAATCACAGAATGGTTTGGGTTGGAAGGGACCTTAAAGATCATCTAGTTCCAACCCCCCCTGCCATGGGCAGGGACACCTTCCACTAGACCAGGTTGCTCCAAGCCTCATCCAGCCTGGCCTTGAACACTTCCAGGGATGGGGCATCCATAGCTTCTCTGGGCAACCTGTTCCAGTGCCTCACCACCCTCTCCGGGAAGCACTTCTTCTCCTAGTGGTTATTCTGATTTCATGAAATCTGTAGCACATACTGGTAGACTGTACCATGCAGCTTAAGTGGAGCTGGTGTATATGGACTGAGATGAGTGTTGCTGAAGAAGAGGTTTCTGTTTTCAGTGTGGCAGTGCCATCACAATAGGAATAGAATGAAATAATTGCGTTGGAGAATTGAGTGACAAACCCACACATGAAACAAAAAATGACTGACCAGAAGCAGGTTAACGCTAGTTTATTTTAGGAGGGGAAATGCCTGATACCCAGCAGTGGGTCACCATTCTTCAATAACCACGTTTAAGCTACTTCTAGACCTGCTATTTCTAACCAAATTTCTGCTTTCACACTTTTGTAGGTAAGGAGATCCCTGGCCAAGCTTCCCTGGTCTTTGATGTGGTTTTGCTAGATCTCCATAACCCCAAAGATGGCATTATCATCGAGAACCAGTATGTGCCCGAATCCTGTGAGCGGAGGAGCCAGACGGGAGACTTTCTCCGTTACCATTACAATGGCACACTTTTGGATGGCACAGTGTTTGATTCCAGGTAACCAAACCGCTCAGCCCTACAGATCCCATTTCCACTTGGACTCGTCTGTCTTGTCAGTAAATACCCGAATACAATTCTTTGCTTTTCCTTCCATTTTGAAATTTTTGAGCGGCGTTGAACTCTTCTTAGAAGAACTCATAGAGAATCTTTCAGTATGGGAAGTAAGACAGGGATCTGTTTTGTGTTGTGACAGCATCACAGACACCATCTAGGGCTGCTGCTCCAGCTGGTGGAGCTGCGCATGCTCCAGACAGTCACGCTAGCAGGCTTTATCTGCCAGACAGGTAGTACTGTTGAGGAGAGAGGAAACCAATGCGATTCCCGTTTTATGTCCCGAGACATCCGTCTCAGCATGCTAGTGGCTAGTTTGAGATTAATCCCAAGACAGTCTTTCCATTTGTGCTTGAAAAACCGCGTTTCAGAGGTGAATGTCTTCCAAGACTGACTTCAGCAACGGGGTTTCTGTGATCAGGGAAGAGGGGTTGCTGTCATGTCACATTCAAAGCTCTCTGGGCACGCGAGCCTCACGTACAGAATTGTATGGTGAGTATGCCTTGCAGCATCCTGTCCCTTTCATTTGCTCTGCAGTGAACAGTGCTTCGCCTTCCCACTCCAGCTTTCAGAACAGCTGGCACAGGCAGCTAGTAAGAGTGGAAGATGAGCCACTGAAAAATGCTTTACGAAATAAAGGGATGGAAAAGTGTGTAGTACAACTGGGAGCCGAAGATCAGGATCAGTTGGCAAACGCACGGTGTGTAGTGTGCCACGTGTGCCGCTTCCCGTGGGGCAGGGTTGGGGCGTTGTACCTCATGTAGTTGGATTGCGCTGCCGTAAGGTTCAGAACCAACCTTCGCCTCCCCACGCAGCTGCCTGGCCTGCTGGGAGGATGCAAGGCAGGAGGCCTGCATCAGCAGCCATCCCTGCAGACTTTAGTTTACAGCTTAGGAAAACCTCAAAGTTAAGAAGGGGAATTTCATCCACAGTGTACCTGCCCAGAATCTCTCTTTTTTGAGACGTTAAATGGGTATTGTCCGTAGACAATTAGACAATTTTTAAAAAATGGCTGTAGTATTTATATTAGGGTTGTTGCCAATAAATAGTAATAAATGCTTTGTAGGCAGCAGCCTCTCAATCATTCTAAAGCACTGACAGTTGTTAGAGGGCTTATTCTTCAGAGTGTCGTATTCTGGCTTCCTGCAGAATTCACAGTAAAGGCCAATATCTAACAAGTATCTAAGAAGAACCAGATCAGCTAATAATAGTTATTGAAAGCCTTGGAGCTGGCCAGGAAAAAATTTCTCACTACTACAGGGAGCATGCCAAAAGCACTGCAAAGGGCTGGAGTCGAGAGCTCTAACAGTTTTCCTTTGTTGTTTTCCTCGGCAATACTCGGTTGCAGAACTGCCCCTGGGCAGCTCAGCCAGAGCTCTCTGGGTTAGGGCAGTTGAATAAACCTCTCAGTTGCATCAGGGTCTGTACTGGTCTGGCTTTTTCCCAGAGCTGCCTTGTGAAGATGAATTCACACCTTTCTGCCTTCCCTTCCTTGGGTTGTGCCTTCATGTAGCACACCTTGAAGAAAGGTGGAAGACAGCACATCCTTGCAATAAACATCACTCGTCGGTGTAGGCTTGTTCTGTTTGATCATTAGGTGTGGAAGAAAATCCTTCAACCGACGTGTAAGTGATTGGCATAGTTTGGAAGGGAGGGATAGTATTGATACTGTTTGGTTGTCATAGAATCATGGAATGGTTTGGGTTGGAAGGGACCTTAAAGACCACCCATTTCCAACCCCCCTGCCATGGGCAGGGACACCTTCCACTAGACCAGGTTGCTCAAAGCCTCATCCAGCCTGGCCTTGAACACTTCCAGGGATGGGGCATCCACAGCTTCTCTGGGCAACCTGTTCCAGTGCCTCACCACCCTCTCCAGGAAGCACTTCTTCCTGATATCCAATCTAACCCTCCCCACGTTCAATTTAAACCCGTTACCCCTTGTCCTGTCACTACAGGCCCTTGTAAAAAGTCCCCCCCAGCCTCCTTGTAGCCCCTTCAGGTACTGAAAGGTGCTATAAGGTCTCCCCGGCGCCTTCTCTTCTCCAGGCTGAACCAGCCCAACTCTCTCAGCCTGTCCCCATAGCAGAGGGGCTCCAGCCCTCTGAGCATCTTCGTGGCCTCCGCTGGACTCGCTCCAACCAGTCTATATCCTTCGGATGTTGAGGGCCCCAGAGCTGGACGCAGCACTCCAGGTGGGGGCTCACCAGAGCAGAGTACAGGGGCAGAATCCCCTCGCTCGACCTGCTGGCCACACTTTTCCGGATACAGCCCAGGATATGGTTGGCCTTCTGGGCTGCCAGTGCACATGACTCACTTTGATGCTGCACATCCCAGGAAAGCCTGTTTATCCCACCCTCTGCTTGTAGGAGTTGGACTACATAGCTGTGGTCACACAAGGAGATAGTCTGAAGGGTGTCTCATGAACATGAGTGTGAACTGTGTCTGGTTGATGAGCACTTAGTAGAGTCAGGGCAGAGGAAAATTGGAAGAATACCGTAATCCAGCACTGGTTAATGAACGACACATGCGTCACGTGCTGGCTGATGAAACTTGGTGGAGTCACTGAACACGGTGACTGCAGTGTGCCTCTCGGGTGCTAGTTAATGCCCGTGTGTTTGACCTTAACCAGCTTAAGAACTGTGTTGCAGACCTGTTGCAAGATCCTGCGTTTTCTGGCCTAGACCTGGCCCTGCTAAAATGCAGATGTTTCCCACAGCTATTCACGAAATCGTACGTACGACACCTATGTCGGGAAAGGTTATGTGATTGCTGGGATGGACGAAGGCCTGCTGGGTGTATGCACTGGGGAAAAAAGAAGAATAATAATCCCCCCTCATCTTGGATATGGAGAAGAAGGAAGAGGTGAGCTTCGCTTTTCATTCAAGTCTCCCACGAGTATGATGTTTAGTGCACCTGTGTGTTGTTCCATGTCTTTGGCATTTGAAAGGGTTATGAGTTAGTTTGTTATTTTGTGGGCACGCAGCTGGCAGGATTACACCCCAAATTTGCAAAACTATTTTAATTAGCTAACTAGGTAGGACAGTAAGAATGCAGAACGGTCTTACATGTAATTGATGACCTGAAATTATTTGGATAATTAGTGTTTCAGGCAGACTGGTGCTGGGTGACCTGAACTCATGTGGATAATCAGTGTTTCAGGCAGACTTGGATACCAGGAGCTTTGCAGCGTGAGATCTTCCTTCCTGTGTGTCTTAACAAGCTCTGTATGCTAAGGGAGTTGATTGTGCTAAGTTTTCTTCCCTGTTTCTTCCACAGCCACAGGTTCTGTGGACTCCTAAGCTGCCTCTGTAAGTGCTGGAGGTGTGTAACAGCAAAGTGTCTGTGTGTCTATAACATACAGCTGAGATTCCTCTGGGAAAACTCGTTAGTACCTAAAAAGATTGCTGTGAGAGGTTGGATATGGTGACCCTTCACGCCGATCGGTTTTATGGCTGGTGTTTCAGAAGGTACCTCCTGGGATGTTATTTGGAAAAACAAACTTGGAGGAAAAAGCTCCACTTCTGGGAATGCAGATTCAATGCTGTTGATTTGGGAATTAGACACCTCTACCAATAAGACCCATTCCTGGGTCTGGCTGTGTCTGTCAGTCCTGGTAATGCGACTGCATATTATCCTGGGAAGGGGGGGAGGAAGTTCATTGCTATCAGGGTATTTTAAGGAAGTGTAACCTTTTACACAGACACAATGGCATTCCCGGAGGCATGAGAAGTCCTGTGAGAACTTGGATATCAATAATGAATTGGTACATGAAAGACAAATCAGTTAATTTGGATGGTCATAGGAAGTATGTGGTTATTTCAGAGAGTCACAGAGTGGAAGGGGTTGGAAGGGACCTCTAGAGATCATCTAGTCCAATCCCCCTGCCAGAGCAGGATCACCTGGAGTAGATCACATAGGAACAAGTCCAGGTGGCTTTGGAAAGTCTCCAGGGAAGGAGACTCCACCCCCTCTCTGGGCAGCCTGTTCAGGGCCCTGTCACCCTCACAGGGAAGAAGGGTTTCCTCATGGTCAGGTTGAACCTTCTGTTCTCCAGCTGATGGCCATTGCCCCTTGTCCTGTCACTGGACACTACTGAGAAGAGCCTGGCCCCATCTTCCTGACACCCACCCTTTAGATATTGATAAGCATTGATAAGATCCCCCCTCAGCCTCCTCTTCTCCAAGCTGAACAGACCCAGCTCTCTCAGCCTTTCCTCAGGTGGAAGGAGCTCCAGGCCCTTCATCATCTTAGTGGCCCTGCGCTGGACCCTCTCCAGGAGTTCCTTGTCCTTCTTGATTGTTTCATTTCTGCGTAATTTTCAGGTTCAGAATAATGGAAATGTTTTCCTTCACTGTTGAACTGAGTGCGCATTCACGTTTTTTTTTGGTGGTTCCCTTTCCCACAGTGGATGCAGCTTGCATCTGTTGCATGCAGAGGAGGTGTAATCCTTTAGCTCTGAACAAGGAGAGCAAAATGGCTTCGTAGCAGACACAGTGGGAATATGTATTCCCAGAGGGTCATCATAAGCCTGTGCGCGTACCATTTCTTTCTCTACTTGCCTAATCTGCATCCTATTTAGGAAAGATTCCGGGATCTGCAGTTCTGGTCTTTGACATCCACGTGGTCGACTTCCATAACCCCTCAGATTCGGTCAGCATCACTGTTACCCACAAACCTGCCAACTGCACCGTACTGAGTAAGAAGGGGGATTATTTGAAGTACCACTACAACGCCTCGCTCCTGGACGGTACCTTGCTGGACTCGACGTAAGTCTATCGCCCGGGCCAGAAAACGCCCCGAGCAGGTGTGAGGGCAGAACGAACTGCCTGCACAGCAGGTTGCTGGGGGAGAAAGGGGTTTGAAGTGAAAAAAAAAAAAAAGGAGTATTTATGTAGAATGTATTTTTCTTTTTAGGTCTGTCTAAGGTCTGTAGGGGGAGGAAAAGAAAAGACAACCTGTCGTAGCACAGTGGGAGAACTGGGAGCAAAGAGGATGTAGGAGTGTGCTGGAAAAGAGCATAAACACTCCAGGGGGAGTGATGAAACGGGTTGTCTGTAGCAGTCGTTTAAATGGGCCGATTCAGGTGTCTGGGCCAGTTGTACCAGAACGGCACAAGGCCCACATGGATGGGCTGTCCAAGTGTTACCTATTTCTTGGGATGGATCCGCACTCTGTGCGGGTTCAGTGCTCCCGAGAGGCCTGGTAGAGGTGCTCATGTGGTCTGGGTACAGCTCGCTTGCCTGGGGGTTGTAGTCAGTGTCGTGTCTGTACCACACGTGGGTGCTAGTTGCCTTGTATTGCGGTGTTACGCTAAGTGTCAGCGTGGAGAGACTCTCGGAGCTTGATGGGGACTGTGATTACTGCTGACAGCAGGTTTACGAGGGGAGCAGAGACTGCTGCAGTCTGTCTCGTGCAGAACTGAAGTGAGCCTAAAGTGCTGCTTGCTGCAGCTACAGGAATACTTCTGCCAGCTTTTTTTCTGCTTTTATCTTTCGGGTAGCACAAGTCACCTACCTAATACTTTATTTTTGGAAGGGAAGTTGGGAAAAGCTATCTTTACTCAGGTTGTAATTAACATAGGAAGGAGCTCAGAGTTTTCAGTGTACACGTTGGTGTGCAGAGCTGAAAAGCTGGCTTGCACTGAAGCGTGGGACGTGATGCCATAGGCAAGTATGTGTGCACGTAA